TTTCTTCATCATTATAATATTTGTATAATTCTACTCAGATTCTTTGCCTATATGCTTATACGTATGAATACGATAACTTAGTTTTCTTCGAATTAATTGTTTTCTCATTCTATATTTTATTTATTACTTAAGTCAATTTATGATTTTTAGAAGAAGTAATATATTTTTTTTGTGGCTTTTAGTTGTTTTATTTTTGTTCGTTTATTGATTTTGTTTTATATACTATTTTATGATGTTCTAAGTTTGTTTTGTTTACAGTTTTGAATCCTGTTTCAAGTTCAATATCTTTTTGTGTTGAAGATTTACACTTCGTTAATTCATGTCTTATTTCAATAAAATGTTTATGCTAATAGATAATATTTTCATATTTTTGTGTTCAAGATTTTTGTTTGTTTAAATGTTCAGCTTTTTTTGGTTTGCCGGTTCACAGGTCCAGCCGGTGTTTTTAATTCGTCGTATCTTATTTTAAATTCTTTAAATATAATTTGTCTATTGTATATGTATATATATATATATACTATTATATATTTTTTATAAGTATATAATAGTTGTAATATATACTTTTGGTCATTATCAATATGTATGTATGTATATATATATATATATAGAGTTGTGTGTATAATATTTATTATAGTAATAATTGAAATCAATAAATAATATATTTCTTTCTTATTAATTTATAATTTAGGTTTTATTTTTGCTTCGCATTATAACAAGTTTCGTTTCTTCTATATATAGTATATATATTTCATTCCTTCTCATATTTCCGCTACAAACTGCACAAACCATCGTGCCCAACTTGTCTTTCTCTGCTTTCTCTATATGTAACTAACTACGATTCGTTTATAGTACGGCAGAACCGTTTTGGTATTTGTATTTTTTGTTTTTCGAAATTCGAAAATATCAACATATACGTACATTGTTTTCGAAAACAATAAACAATTACTGGCGCTTTACGTAGCAGTTAAATATCTTTCGATATACAAACATGCGATTTTTGTAGCGTTTCGCAAGACTACACATACAACATAGTTTCACTGGGATTAAAATTTAGTTATTTTGCCAACATCGTCGGATTTCTCTTTTTCAATGCTTACACAATCTTCATTTTTTCTATATTTTAGTGTTTTGTTTTTTTTTTTGTATTTTAGTTTTTTCTTTTTGTTTGCTTTACTGTTTTTATATCTAAACTGTACGTTTTCAAGTTAATATGTTTACACATATAAGAGCGTATGTGCATGTAAGTGTTCTAAAGGTATTACTATGTACTATGTATGTATGTCAAGTAATGTTATGTAGTATGTATGTAGTTAGGTGTATGTGCGCGTGTTTATAAATCATTCTCTAAATAAACGGCGGCCCCATTTCAGTCCATGTTTTACATTGAGTTTTTGTTTGTTTGTTTTGTTTGTTTTTAAATGACTAAAGAGCAGCCTTTCTTGAACTGTTGTTGTGGTTGTGTTGTGTCGAAAACATCCCCGCCTGGACTTGACCACCGACCCGACCCGACTAAACTCTCGACTCTGACTCCTGCCTTTTGCCGCTGCTAGTAGGGATAGTGTGTTTGTTTTGGTCTGTTTGTGTCTTACCATAATATAATATCATGCATTTTCTTCTTCGGTGTAACGGTATGACGACGATTGCGCAACAACTTACTTTAGAAAGCGAACAATTTCCATATTTGTCGCAAATAAATTATTGTTTTATGTCGCTTTTCTGGTTTAACATTTTGTGTTTTTTTTTTTTGCATTACAAACATATTTTCGCTTAGTCATATTGTTTTCGAACTCGTATATATTGTTGTTGTTTTTGTTGTAGTTGTAGTAGTAGTAAAGGAAGCTATTGTTGTAAAGTTGTGTCTAAGTTGTTGTTGTTGTTGTTGCTGTTGTTGTTGTTGTTGTGGTTGCTGTTGCTGTAGTGTCTCTTACATTGTTTTGTTTGGTTTTGTTTGCTTTGCTATTTGTTTGTGTTTCAATTCAATTTTTTTCTGCCACAAACACATCAAATATTCATCAAATTACAAATATTTTCTTTTTCATACGCATAAAATGTAGTAGCATCAATGTTGCTGTTGTTGTTGTAGTTGGTAGTATAGTCGTGTGATCATAGTTGTGGTTATGGATGCTGTCGTTAGTACCCTCAAAATTAACATGGGTAAATACCTAAAACAAAAAAGTAGATAGATGATAGCAATTGTGGGAAGTTGTTGGCCACTCGAAATAGTTACAGATATGAATGCGTGTAAATATGTAGTATAAACTTTAGAAATTATTTAGTGTAATAAACTCGAGGATCGTAACGAATAACATTTTCATAGCAAAAAAGAAATATTCGCTGTTGTAATTTGCCTTAAGTTTTTGGTTTTTTGTTTTTACTTTCAAATCATAGTTGATCGTTTTTTCAATCGTTCGACTTTTTCGTTAATTTTTATCGTTATTCATTTTACTTTTTTCATCAATCGAAGCCAACAGCATTTTATGTATACTTTTTTCGGATTAAAAATAGCCATTATGTCTCCATGAATTTTTTTTTTTTCGATAATTTTTGGACCGTCAACTAATTAAAATTGCATACATTATTTATTAAAATTGTATATTTATATGCACGCGTCATTTTTATTACTTTTGCCCAACAAATGATTGCCTTGATTTGCTGAGGGTTTTTACAATACTCACGGAATCCAAGGTAAAGACTTTAGAAATAAAGTGAGAAAATCAAATAGCTCGACAAAAGGTATAGAAATAAATGTAACGGTATTTTAAAGCTTTTGAGTTGCAGAATTCAGAAAAAATAGTCTCTTTGGGTAATAAAATTACATACCTTGATCTTTTAAATGACTTTCAAATATAGTAGGCTTTCACTTTTATTTTTTTTTGTTTACATACTGAAATGAACTTTTTAAAAGTTGTAATCACATATCTATTTTTGCTGCTCTTGCATCGAAAAAACTACGAACCGAGAAGCGAAAATGGCATTTGATTTTTTTTAGGCTCCCCGCACGCATGCTGTTTTCAGTTCGAGAAAAGAAAAATAATCAAAAATTGTACTTCTGAAGGGCGGTTTTAAAGTCAAGATAACGTCTCATTCAATCAGACATTTAAAAAGTCTTGAAAAGTAAAATCTTTGTTTTTTTTGTCGTTTCTTGGCCTAGAAACAGCTAAGCTAAGAATAAACCTAAATCATAGCAATTATGCGTTTAAAATTTTTTAATAGTTCAATGCATACTGTTTTCAGGTATACCTCCAACAATATTTGAAGGTCATTTTAAAGGTCAAGGTAACTCTTTTCCCATCAAGACTGTGCATTTCAAAAGCTTTAAAATACCGTTGCATTTATTTCGCTATCACTTCTCGTTTTCAAGATATTTGATTTTGTCCCCATTTTCCAAAAATCGTAGAATTTCGAATTGTTTAAAAATTCTTTATTTATGAAATAAAAAACAATCCATATTTACAAGATAGGCAGCAGAATGGTGTAAGAAAATAAAACCACTAAATTTAGAGATCAGTAAAAAAGTTAGTTAAAAAATAAGTTTGCTCTGCTTTAAAAGGGCTTTTGTCCAGTTTATGGCGAAATTTGTAAGAAATAAGAAAATTGCCCGACCTGCGACATTTTTATATGAATAATCATATAAATTGTTCCGCTAAATCCGAATACGAAATCAGAATTTAAGAAAGTAGAACATTTTTTAACCGACTTTTAAAAAAAAGCAGGAAGGTTATCAATTCAACGAAATATTTTCTTTTTTTAAATGTATTATTTTCCTCATGTAGCTTTGGACCACGTGAACCGTTTTCGATAATTCTTTTTAATCGGAAAGATGGTACCTCAAGAGTGGTCGGTCCCATACTACTTTGGTATAGTTGCGATCATTGGATCATGAAGAAACTAACAGTACTCGTAAAGCATTAAAGTCGGTTGTATTTTTTGCTTAAAACTTACTTATAAAAATATAGCTAAATCTCGATTTCTTGAGATCTGAAAAAAGTGCTCCCGCATAATTGCAACTTGTTTTTTGTGGTCAATCTATAATTTTTTTGCATAGTGAAGTTTATTAACCCTCTACAGCATGAATTACGAAAGAGATGAATAACAAAATTTTAACTGTAAAAAAAACACGTTATCTACGTATCAACAAACTTATATCGAAAGAAAAAACGCATACAAATCATTTATTTAAAATTTTATTTCGCAAAAAAATATATGGAAATTTTTATGAAAACAAAAAAAAACAGTTGGGTAGCGATTATTGATGTGTGAATTAAGAAACTATTTTTTTTATCTATTTTACAAGAATTTGCGTTTTTCAGTAGTTTTTCTATTACGCGAATATACGCTTTTCGACCACGCACACAAAACTGAGGTTATATCCAAATGTTATCTCACCATAGGCAAACCGATTACGTTCCGTTATTCGTAGTTAACTTCTCAATGCATTTAATTAATTTGAGTCATTTTTATAACTCTCGTTAGGTGGGAAAAATTTCCAAAGTAGAGACACAATATTTGGTTTCGTATGCGGTAGAGGGTTAAATTTTCTTCTTGTCCATGTAAACAACAACATTTTTCAACCGAAATAGTATTTTAGGAGCTACATATACAAAAAGAAAGTCCTAAAAAATTTACTTTGAAACCGAAAGAAACCGAAAGTAAACAAATTTTTTCCTGCTGATGTATGTACCGAAAATGTATAGCACACTACTAATCAGGGGATTGGAAAATGATATCGGCATAGATAGCCAATTAATAAGCGTCTGCCAATGTAAAAAGAAATGTTGCGACTTGCCAACTATACCCGAAAAAATTTCCAGTTAATTGAGTGGGTGTATTTTTTTTCAAATCTCAAAAACGGAAATTTGGTTTTACCTCAAAAACTGTTCTACTTTTTGATATTTTGACTTCATATTCGAAATGATGGTCAAATGCCACAAACAGGAATCTCTTGCGTAACATAAAAAAAAAAGTTTTTTATTTCAACTGCAAAATGATTGATATTTATTTAGAAATCGCCAATGCAAACCGGCTTTTAAATACGAATAATTAAATTAATTTAAATGCCACTTAATTTCTGATCTGAAATTGCGCCGAAAATGCTTATTTGGCTACACTTTTTGGCCGGAAATTTAGTAATTAAAAAGCCTAAAAACGCATTTTTGAAAATCTTCGCGCTCTTGCTAAGGAATGGTGAAAGAGAATAATAGAATACAATGAAAGCTTAGGCAATAGTTTTTAAATCCCAGATCTAAAATTGGATTCTTACATGTTGTTGTTGTAACAGTTTTTAAATGCCCCATTACATCATTTAGCTTCATAGGAGCTAGTTTTTCTTTGGCTGATAAATTTTTTTCAATGACTAGAGCAAATTATGAATTTTGAATTTGAAATTTTGAAAATTACGGTTCTACGCGCAAAATCCGCTAAGAATTCGCTATTCGATATTCCTCGGGACACTCGTGAGCTTGTCGAATTTCTTGTCGGCCTGTATAAACGATCCAGCTTGATCGCAAAAACCAAAAGTCTAAAGCGAACGATCAAATATGGTTTGAAAAATAAACATCTCAAGAAATTATTATAAAGCAAAAACGTTAGTTTTTTCACATTCGAAAAATTAAAATAACTATTACTTTTGTGCTGCAGAAGTTATGTTTAAACTTGTATATACTCATACATAGCACTATAAAATACCTGTGAGAAAAGTAGTAAAATGTGTGCTTGTCGTGTTTTTGTATAAGGATTTTAAGAAATCATTGACTAAAAAAGAATCATATACACAATATAAACAAAACCGTTAACTTGCAAACGAAAGTAATAAAATTTTGAAATTAAATTTTCCAAAAGATGCGAAAATAAATATTAAACATAAATACATATTAATTAAACTATTCTATCTATGTATGTACGTCTATACTGCTGCTGTTGTAGAGGCGTGGCAAATATAGTTGTTTCAAAATGTTGTATGTTGTATACAATTACATATGTACATACTTCTGTACATATGTATATTGCAACTAAGAAAGCAAGATGCAAATGCACATCCTTTTTAATTACCTTGATAGTTTTGTGGCCAAATGGCGGGTACATTCTATAGATTTCGTGTGTATGAATTTAGTATTTTCCAACGGCACAGCAATAGCGTCCATGTAAAACAGAATTATAAATTTTCATTTTAATTCGATTAATTTCTTATTATTACACATACATATATGTACATACTAAAATGAATTTCGTCAACTTACCGCCGCACTGACCATTGGCACGCTATAGTACTGATAAAATGGTTGATATTGCATTGAAGGTGGGTAAATTGTTGGCACGCCTGCTGCTGTAAAATCAGTAACTGTTTGTTAAGAGGTTATGCTAATTATAACTGATCTGCTAAACGTTGTTTTCATATTTCAAATAAAATAAATTGCGAGTTACCTGGCGGATAGACCGTGGCGGCGAATTGATCAATGGGCATATTACTAATCGGGGCTGGTGGTGTTGTTGTATAATAGACAGCACCATTCGTTGCAACAATCGACTGGAATGTACGTACATACATATCTGTTTTATTAACAATTTATTTTAACTTATTATTAAAAAAAAAAAAGATATACGAGTAATGCCAAATTTCCTCTGGTCATTGAAGGGATTAAAATGAAAAAATATAATAAATGTGTACCATTTCAAAACTGGCATGTGGACACAAATTTAGTGGCTGATATTTTTAACGTAATAACACCGGAATTTACACTGGCGGTCACACATAACTTGCCACCACTATTTGTTTTAAGGGAGGTAAAAATTTAAAAATTATAGATATAAAATTTTCATAAAATTTTCAATGCAGTTTTATAGCTCATTTCATTTTAGTGTACTTGCACTTTAAGTTTGACATAGCTCAAGATTTTGTTTGATTTTTTTTTTACGATGTTGCGTACTTCCCCTTAAAAAAAAGATGCGTTATATGGAAAAAACAGCGCATGACCGTCAGAAAAAAAAAGAAAAAATCATTAAGAATTTTAGGCCACTTCGAACTTGCGCATTATTTCATAAAAATTTATATTAAAAGGTTGGAAATATTCATGAAAATTCGTTAAATTTTTCTAAATTTTGCACAAAGTTTGCAACTTTTATTTGCATGGTTTTTGTTATAAAGTGAACTATATTAATTTTTTTTATTAATATACGAAATGATAATTCATAAAAAATGGTAACAAGTAGCGATGTGCCGGATAGAGATTTTAAAAATAAAAGCCTGATTCGGATATCCGGTAGATTGCTGCCCTTTATAAATTTCACAATATTGTTTTTTTTTTTTTTTGTTAAGCGACATACTTATGACCAGATTATCTGCTTTTCCGAGCTGAACTATAAAATACGGCCGCGCTGCGATCGGGCGCAACGCGCGCTATGTGGGACCGCTATAGGGATCTGAAGAGGGAAGCTAGACGTATTTGCCGCAATAAGAAGAGAGGCCGAAATACGTGAGTGCGAAGAGCTTGAAATGCTGGCCGACAGGAGGAATGCCCGAAAATTTTACCAGAGAGTTAGGCGACTTACGGAAGGTTTAAAGACCGGGGCGCACGGAAAGTTGTGGAGAAGAAGAACCCGAGCCCGCAGTCGATGATGACGGAGTCGACGATCCACCGCCTGACTATGACGAGGTACGTATAGCAATAACGCGGCTGAAAAACAACAAAGCCGCTGGAGCTGACAGCCTGCCAGCTGAGCTATTCAAGTACGGTGGCGAGGAGTTGATAAGGTGACTCTTGTGCAGAATATGGTCAGATGAACGCATGCCCGACGACTGAAATTTAAGTGTCCTCTGCCAAATCCACCAGAAAGGTGACCCCGCCTTTCGCGCCAACTATCGCGGGATCAGCCTTCTAAGCATAGGTTACAAGGTCTTATCGAGCGTATTGTGTGAAAGACTGAAGTCCACCGTCAATGAACTGATTGGGCCTTATTAGTGTGGCTTTAGACCTGGCAAATCCACCATAGACCAGGTATTCACAATACGCCAAATTTTGGAAAAGATCCGCGAGAAAAGGATCGACACTCACCACCTATTTGTCGACTTTAAAGCCGCTTTTGACAGCACTAAAAGGAGTTGCCTATACGCCGCTATGTCTGAATTTAGCATCCCCTCAAACCTCATACGGCTGTGTAAATGACGTTGAGCAATACCACCAGCTCCGTCAGAATTGGAAAAGACCTCTCCGAGCCGTTCGCCACAAAACGGGGTTTCAGACAGGGCGACTCCCTTCCATGTGACTTCTTTAATCTGATGTTGGAGAAGATAATAAGAGCTGCAGAACTGAACCGCTCAGCAACAATTTACTACAAGAGCGTGCAATTGCTGGCTTATGCCGATGACATCGACATCATCGGTAACAAAAACCGCGAATTCTGTTCTGCCTTTTCCAAGTTGGATAGGGAAGCAAAGCGAATGGGTCTGGTGGTAAACGAGGACAAGACGAAGTATCTCCTGTCACCAAACAAACAGTCAGCACATTCGCGCCTTGGCACCCACGTCACTGTTGACAGTTACAATTTCGAGAAAGTAGAGAATTTCGTTTACTTGGGAACCAGCATTAACACCGATAATAATGTCAGCACTGAAATCCAACGTAGAATCACTCTTGCCAACAAGTGCTACTTTGGACTGAGTAGGCAATTCAGGAGTAAAGTCCTCTCTCGACGTACGAAAACCACGCTCTATAAGTCACTCATCATGCCCGTGCTGGTATATGGCGCAGAAGCATGGACAATGACAACATCCGATGAGGCTGCTCTTGGAGTGTTTGAGAGAAAGATTTTTCGGAAGATTTACGGGCCTTTACGCGTTAGCGACGGCGAGTACCGCAGACGATGGAACGATGAGCTGTATGAGCTTTACAACGATATGGACATAGTGCAGCGAATTAAAATACAGCGGCTCCGCTGGCTTGGTCATGTCATTTGAATGGACATCGACGCTCCAGCACTGAAAGTATTCAACTCGGAACCCGCTGGTGGTAGCAGAGGAAAAGGGAGCCCCACTGCGATGGAAAGATCAGGTGGAGAAGCACTTGGGTTCACTTGGCGTTTCCAATTGGCGTCAGTTGGCACAGAGGAGAAACGTCTGCGTGCTTTGCTGAACTCGGCCAAAATCGCTTAGGCGGTTACAGCGCAAAAAAGAAGAAGAAGTGGTCGTAAATATCAATTTTGAGTGAATCATCTTCAGTAGTTACTAAAATGTCGCAGTTTTCGTATTTATGAAAACTACCGTTATATGGGAGGTAGGCGTGGTTATTGTCCGATTTTGCCCATTTTCAATACCATCCGTCCTACGCCCGAAAGAAGTATACGTTAAGATATTTCAATTTTTACTCGAGTTATCGTGTGCACAGACGGACGGACGGATGGACGGATGGACGGACGGATGGACGGATGGACGGACGGATGGACGGATGGACGGACGGACAGACAGTCACCGCTTAATCGATTTCTCTTTTCATTATGATCGTTTATGTATACATTTGTCTATATCTATCTCAATTCGTTTTGCCTGTTACAAACAACCGTTATGTGAAAAAAGTTATAATACCCTTGTGCACAAGTGCGCTCAGGTATAAAAAAAAAAATATTGGAGGGGGAAACCAAATCGTACTATTATGCATGCTTACATACATATCGTCCCGTTGTTGCAATATTTTGTGACCCACGTTTCAAAACTCGTTTTTTCTGACACTAATAAAACAAAAAACTGATTAAAGCTTCTTTGAAGAGGGAGCTAGCTAACCAGGATATTTGGCAATAGTGGTGGTAATCTTTATTTGGCGTATACTTTATTTTCTAAAAATAACACTAATGGTGATTTCGTTTCTACCAAAAAATGTTGCGATTGTTTGATGTTACACTCAACCCTGTAAAAGGGCATGTGTTTGGGTTCTTGTCCTTATCCATAATATTATCGTTTTAAAGCAACCATCTGATTTTCAGTGCAACCATCCCCCCCCCTGCCAAAACTTCAACGGGCAGGAAATGTGCATTTTTCTGGCCTTACAAGAGTGTGACATTTTAAGAAATGAACACAAAATTTGCTCACCGTTTGCCCTTAGTTTAGAATCGAGCACGAAAAGACAAAGGGGCAACCAACATGCGAAATTTTTTTAATTTTTTGGTGGAAACGAAAACACCATTAACTAACTTAGCTTATGTAAATTATTTTGTGCATACTCACTTGTTTTTTGATAGCCGGAGCTATGTTCAGTTTTCGATCCCTTAGCACGACGCATTCACCCTGTAGATATGAAAACGTTGTGAAAGTAAAAAACGAAATAAAAGGAGAGAAAACGAAGAAAAAAATAAATCAAATTCAATTGCAATTCTAAACGGTGTAACATTTCAAGGCAGCTCAATACAAAACGTTTTAGAAAAAATGCTTTAGCTTCTTCAACAAACAAACTCTTGGAACAGTTTTTTTTTTTTTTAATTTTTAATGATTTCAAATAACGAAAAATCAAAAAAAAAATATATATTTTTGTTTTACTAAAATATTAATGGGAAAAGCTCTTAGAAAGTATAACAACTAATACTCCAAAAATATGTACGAACATTTGTTTAGAAAACACAGCAGAAATTGAACGTCGATTATGTGAACGAAAAAAATTTTCTTTTTTAATAAATACTCACTGAGAACCAATTTTGTTTTTTTTTTTTTTGTATAAATTAACCAATTAAATTATGTAACGCACAAGCACAGTGGCTGCAAAATGAAACCAAACGCAACAATAACTATAAATAAATAAAAATCTAACGCACTTTCGAAACTTGGCAAATGTACAACGAAAATTAATTTGTGATAAACCGACAACAATAGTTTTAATGGTTAATGAAATCAGATACAACAATATATGTATGTAATAAAACGAAATAATAATGAACGTAAACAATTTAAGAAGAAAAAAAAACATATTAATTATTAAACAATAATTAGCGGTAGAAACGACAAACTGTTCAAAGACACACTACGAGGCGGTAAAAACGCTGAAGGAGACACTGCAGAAGTAAAAGACAGTTCCTGCTAATTTACACTAAGCACAATTGGTTTCATAATCGATATACATATGTAGATACAATGCTGGACAATTTTTTTTTCACGCAGATTACTGTAATATGTAGACGCCAGCATCCGT